TGTAGTTAGCAAGCCATTCACAGTCTTTGTTTAATCCAGAGTTGATTGTGTCAAACTTGAAGATGAACTGTAGCTCAGCAGTTTCTCTTTGAAGTCTGGTCCTGAAGTTTTTTTGCTGCAGGATGGCTGCTTTTAGATTTGGTTCTAATCGACCAAAAGTGTGTAGCCATCAGGGCTGCAGAGAAAATCCTGAAAACATCACCGAACAGGATCTTAGAAGGACAAAAATAAGCAGGCGGGGGCGGAGGAGGGAAGGAACAATTATTATATTGAAGAAAATCTTGATTTTTTTTTTTTAGTTTATCTTATAATTTTTCTCGGATCTGACTCAAGATTTTGGAACACTTGGAGATGGCATTATTGGAGAGACAACGTGATATTGCACCCTCAGAAAAGGACCATTTTCTTGTTCTGTAGTAATACAGACCTGAGCAATATGGGATTCTGGTATATGGCTAGGGCCCCCGGGTGTGATGGTCATGCAAATAAATAATAGCAAAAATAACATGAAGATTGTTAGCTGGGAGGAAGGTAGGGGGGGAAAAGCAGACAAATGAATAGAAGAACTGGACCTAAGGATAAAGGAAGAAACCTCCTGGGGGTCACCAAATGAAATGAATAGGCAGCAGGTTTAAAACACACAAAAGGAAGTTTTTTTGCATGCAGCACACAGTCAACCTGTGGAACTCCTTGCCAGAAGATGTGGTGAAGACTAGGATTTTAACAGGATTCAAAAAAAGAGCTAGATAGATTCATAGCAGTTAGGTCCATCAATGGCTGTTAGCCAGGATGGGTAGGAATGGTGTCCCTAGCCTCTATTTGTCTGGAAATGGGTGACAGGGGAGGGCTCATGTGAGGATTCCTTGTTGTGTTTCCTCCTCTGGGGCATCTGGTATTGGCCACTGTTGGCAAACAGGACACTGGGCTAGATGGACCTTTGGTCTGACCCAGTATGGCCGTTCTTATGTTCTCCACTGGAGGGTTAGTGCCCATCCTATGAGCCAAAAGCAGAAACGGATGTGAAAGGGTCATTTCGTCTTTGGTGCTATTTCTAGACACACCTGTGGGCATGTGCTGTAAGTGGAGAGGTAGACACTTGAAACAAAGTGGGGATCTTGCTTTTGGGGCCTCGCCGCGGGCGGTAGCCATTACAGCTTCCGCAGTAATCCCCTTCCTTCGGCTCGGGCTGGGTCACGTGAAAGGTGAAATGGAGTTTAGCAGCAGCCACAATTCCAGTATCGCCAGAGACTCCAGTTTGGCGGCTGTTGCTTTGGGCGAGACCCCGTCTGAACGGCATCTAAACTCAAAATTAGAATACAGGTGGCCCCTGACTTGCGACGTGATCGGGTCCTGGGGAAGTGTCGCAAGGCAGGGGTGTCATAACTCGAGCCCTCACTTACGACAGGGGTCGTGCGCCATCTTAAATGCGGGCCGAGGACACAAGTCAGGGGTTTTTACCCCCTTCCGCACTTACATAAATGGTTGCAAGTGCGGGTGGTCGCATCTCGGGGGTTTCCTGTATATTACAGCCAATCATTTTTTACTAAGTTTTGAACAGAACCAACATGTATTAAATCCAGTCTCCGGGGGCTAGATTAGGAGCAGGACTCCATCTTTATGCTTGGGCATGAGAACTGTGCCTTCCACAGGCAATCTCGTTAGTTAGCTGAGGTACTTACATGGCCCTATTACCATAATGCCTGATTAGCTCCCAAGCTTTAAATTCACAGCACCCTGTGAGGCAGAGAAGCATGATTATACCCATTTTACAGATGTTCCAGGTCCTGTTCCACAACCAGTAGAGGGAGGGTTTGAACCTGGGTCTCCCTCATCTTATACATGGATTCTCGTCATTAGGCTAGGAGGTATGAGAGAGTCTCTCCTCTCTGGCTATGTTCTGTGAGGGGCTTGATACTATGGGGCTATTCTAGGAAAATGAACCCCGAGCCAGCTTGATAAGAACATAAGAATGGCTGTACTGGGTCAGACCAAAGGTCCATCTAGCCCAGGATCCTGTCTGCCGACAGTGGCCAGCACCAGGTGCCCCAGAGAGGGTGGACTGAAGACAATGATCAAGTGATTTGTCTCCTGCCATCCTTCTCCAGCCTCTGACAAACAGAGGCCAAGGACACCATTTCTGTCCCCTGGCTAATAGCCTTTTATGGACCTAACCTCCATGAAATTAACTAGCTTCTCTTTAAACTCTGTTATAGTCCTAGCCTTCACAGCCTCCTCTGGCAAGGAGTTCCACAGGTTGACTATGCTCTGTGTGAAGAAGAACTTTCTTCTTCAAGATCGGTTAGGGTAAAGCCCATTTGGAGGATCATGGCAGGGATTGGGCATAAGCTAGAGCAAGACATTGGTTATCAGGCTTTGCAGATGCCTATGGACACACATGTGGGCACCAAGAGAACTTTCCCGGCAGAAACATGGGCACCTGCGTGGGGAGAGAGGGCAAATGCATGGGGGTTTTAAGCAGTGCTTAACTGGTACCTGGGCTGAGCGATGCCCCTCCAGGCTTGGCAGTTATAGAATCATAGACCCATAGAGCTGGAAGAGACCTCAGAAGGTCACCAAGTCCAGCCCCCTGCCCTAGGCAGGACCAATCCCAATTAAATCAACCCAGCCAGGGATTGTGAAGCCGAGACTTAAACACCTCTAGGAATGGAGACTCCACTACTTCCCTAGGGAACCCATCCCAGTGCTTCACCACCCTCCTAGTGAAATAGTTTTTCCTAATATCCAACCTGGACCTCTCCCACCACAACTTGAGCCCATTGCTCCTTGTTCTGCCATCTGTCACTATTGTGAACAGCCTCTCTCCGTCCTCTCTGGAACCTCCCTTCAGGAAGTTGAAGGCTGCTCTCAAATCCCCCCTCGCTCTTTGCTTCTGCAGACTAAATAGACCCAGATCCCTCAGCCTCTCCTCTTAGGTCATGTGCTCCATCCCCCTCATCATTTTGGTTGCCTCCGCTGGACCCTCTCCAGTGCGTCCACGTCCTTTCTGTAATTGGGGGAGCCCAGAACTGGACACAATACTCCAGATGTGGCCTCACCAGACCCAAGTGTGCAGCATCAGTTACGAACGTAGGGTTCAGAAAAGGGCAACTAAAATGATTAGGGGTTTGGAACGGGTCCCATATGAGGAGAGGTTAAAGCGACTGGGACTTTTCAGTTTAGAAAAGAGGAGACTGAGGGGGGATATGATAGAGGTCTATAAAATCATGAGTGGTGTGGAGAGGGCCGATAAAGAAAAATTATTTATTAGTTCCCTAAATAGAAGAACTAGAGGACACCAAATGAAGTTAATGGGTAGCAGGTTTAAAACTAATAAAAGGAAGTTCTTCTTCACACAGCGTGTAGTCAACCTGTGGAACTCCTTGCCAGAGGAGGCTGTGAAGGCTAGGACTATAATAGAGTTTAAAGAGAAGCTGGATAAATTCATGGAGGTTAGGACCATAAAAGGCTATTAGCCAGGGGATAAAATGGTGTCCTTGGCCTCTGTCTGTCAGAGGCTGGAGAGGGATGGCAGGAGACAAATCGCTTGATCATTGTCTTCGGTCCACCCCCTCTGGGGCACCTGGTGCTGGCCACTGTCGGCAGACAGGATCCTGGGCTAGATGGACCTTTGGTCTGACCCAGTACGGCCGTTCTTATGTTCTTATGTCGACAAATTGCTTGAGCCCCCGTCCCCGTGTCATGGCCGATGGAGAGCTGGTTGTAAGGCGCTGAACTCTGGAGGTCGGTGCCACAAGTTGTCGCGAGGGGCTTATGTCCCCGTTGTGGTTCTAGCCCAGCAAGATGAAGGAGCATCACTGCGAAGGGAAAGAAGTGCCTAAAAATGCAGGTGCCCGGGGGCATTGTCAAAGGTGTCGCGGTGCCTCCCTCCCGTTAGGAACTGAGACCTAGCCCCTCTGAGGGACGGCGATTCCTACTTCCTGTTGGAATCGGGGGAAACTCGCTGCTGAAATATCTTTGAGGACCTGAGCCCTAGGCCCATCCGAAAATCCCACCAGGCGCCTATCTGCAGCCTCGAGGGCCTGCAAGCCGAAATCGGGTCCAAAATCATACCAGAAAGTCTGGGGCAGAGCTGGGAAAGGCCCCCCTGGCTCCCACGCTGATAGCCCAACCATGGGACCATCCCGTTGCTCTGGGTCTTGAGGTCTGTCCTGCTGGAGAGAGTGGGGAACGTGTGCACCCAGAACAGCTGAGCAGGGCGGGGGATGGGAATCTTGGCTTCACTCCTACCCTGATTGGCTAGTGCGGGGTGGGAACGGAATGGAGCAATTTAGAGCTTCTATATGTCAGGAGTGAATGAGCGTCTCCTTGAGATGAAGGGAGCAGTAGGGAAGGGGGGGGGCTACCGGAGTCACCCTACCTTCATTGGGGTGCTGCTACCTACTTTCCCCTTACTGGGGGCAGTGTCCTGTGATATCATCTGGCCCCAAGTCTCATGTGTCTTCTCAGATGCTGTTTGGATCTTCCCATGCCCGCGACGTTTGGGCTGCTAGTAAACATGGAAGTTACGGGTCCGACACAAAGCCGTATTTTGCCCGGAGAGAGGCGATATAGCTGAAAATGGAACCACCGGCACATGCAAAGCTGGATGTCAACAGTCGAACTGCTCTGACACACTGAAAGTGATTCCCTATTAAGAAAATGAAATGTTACCTTGAAGTCAAACCAATCAAGTGCAAGGGGCGGGGGTAAATGCTTTCACCAGAACCATTGGCCGGTTCTGGATGGCATGTTTCATAGGAAGCCTTCTGGAGTAAGCCTGTCCGAATGCGCCAGTGTAAGACTCACATAGTTAGGACCCGATTCCCTGCTGATGTGGAGTGACACCCGTTCGGATGGGCAGAGACGCCGGGTACCAGACTGAGGACCAAGTGGGAACCTTTTGAGCCATCCGGAGATGCTCCAGGAGCAAGGACCCAACTGGGCCTCCTCGCTGGTGAAACAAGGGACCCGATCAACTTGTCCTCTCGTTGAGGAATTACCTGTTGCCTTCAAGACGGTTCCTGGATCCACGTAGAACATACCCTCAGCCCATTAGTTTTTAACGCCGTCGTGTTTGGCTTACCGCTGCCTCTCCTTCTGATGCTCCCTGAAATTCGTGTTCCTGGCACCCATAAAGGTACTAGTTGACCCTGCCTGGTGCATGCCGTAGACCCTCATTACATTGTACTTTTACTGCTTTTTAACGTCGACGCTTTCTTTTGCTCCGGTTGACACCACTGCAATTTACATTGCCAATGAGAGGCGAGGAGTTTCTTTCCCCTCAATATCCTTTATCTGATTGCTTTCTCGCTGTGTGTTTTGACCTCGCTTCCGTAGCTTTCCTGGAGTGCACGGGAGGTAGAGCTGATAAAGAGCCAGGTGCGCAGTGTGGGGGGAGGGCTTGGGTTTGGAATCGAGATGCTTTAAATTTCTTTAGATAACGACGAGCCAGGCCGTCTGGTATTGCGGAAGAAGCCGGAAAGGCGCATGTCTTGCCCCTGCTGTCACATCCCTGGCAGGGGGCCAGGCGCCCATGTAAGACCCTGTTGACATCACTTGAGTGGGGAATGGAAGCCGGGGTCAGCTCAAACCGGGCTCATTGCAGGGTCCGTGGTTGCCATGGCAACTGCCTCTTTGTTTGTACAGCTCCTGACGCAGTAGGATGCTCACAACCACAGTAATAATAATAATAACAATAATTAATAACCCAGTGCTTTTAAAAAACTGAATCTAGTTTGAAGAAGGCGAAAGCTAGGCCCTCCATTCTTGGCTGGTTTCTCTCAGGGCTTGTCTCCACAGCCGGGCAATGCGGCCGATCGGGGTCTGATATATAAACCGCGCTAACGAATGTGTTGTGCGTCACTTGAGCTGTGTAGACGTACCGACGCACCGCGCAGCACCCAGCTGTGGAGACAAGCCTTTGGATATCAAAAGAATTGTTCCAGAGGAAAAAATAACAGACCTGAAACACATCTCAAATCTAATGATGATAAAAAAAAAAAGTTACAAGCCCCTTGTTGGTTTCTTATCTCCTTTAATTTAAATGGCATCTTCTTTCTTCTGATAACTTAGGCGGGTGTAGTCCATTGACATTTAGTTTAGCATTTGAGCATTACATTAGAAAGAGAGAGAGATTACATTTTGGATCAACACATTCAGTTCTTAACCCCTGAAAGTAATTATCTTGGCTGCAGGGCAGAATGAAAATATTATCATATTACCAGATAGCAAATCTAGCGTCTGAATACTGGGTTGCCATCACTTCTGACCTTATCTGCTGTTTTCAGAAACTTAGATCCCGGTTCTAAAAATTCCCTCTAGCCAGAAACTTCTTGGGAGAGCTCGGATGACCGTTCTCTTAGTTCGCCTGAGACAGAGAGGACAGCTATCAGAGATTACCGTTTGTTTTCTCCCCCCCCCCCACGCTCTCTCGTGGTAAAACAGTTTGGGGTACCCCTCTGAAAGAAATTCCCAAGTGTTTTCTTCCTGGGTTCAAGAAAAAAGGGTTTTTTAACGTGAGTGGTGGTTATCACAGTTATCTGTGACCTTAGGGAGTTTTTAAAAACAGAAGCCTCTAGTGGCAAGGTATTTTAAGGTCTCTTGCGGCGCCCCCCCCCCCTTTACACTCGAAGTGCCAGAGTGGGGAACAGCACCAACATTTCCCCGCTCAACGGATCTTCTTCTGTTTTGTTTTTTCCTCCTTCCTTTGCAGCCCTAGAGATGACCAGAGGTGGAGACTGGACAAGTTGGACTTGAGCCCTGAGCCAGTACTGAGAAATTTTACATGCTTGGCCAGGGACTTTGCTCCCATGTTCAGGGACTAACTGATGGGCATTTGTGCTGTTGGGAAGGAACTTTTCCCCAGAATGGCAGTGACCCTGTGGCGGGTGGTTTTTTGTTTCTTTGTTTGCTTTTCTCTGTGTTATGGGGAGCCGGTTGTTTGGGAATATCTCAGCTGATTGCTTACTAATGCAGGGACCTTGAGCTTTGGTGTGTGTTGATCACTCCCGTAGTTTGCCTGGCTCATAATCTAGTCTGCTGTGGGTTGTAAGATTTTGGTCTAACTTAATTGGTTGGGTTTAGTGTGACGATGATACTCAGAAAATCCAAGTAGCTGACCTAGTGATCCCATCTGGTCTTAAACTCTATGATGCGTGGATGTTTCATTAGACCATGAAGAATTTTTGCAAAATGTAGCTGTTAAATCATGAAGAGTTCATGTCTGTTTACACCTAGGACACTGGATATTTCTGTCTGAATATGTCACATGGTTTGTAGGTTCCCAGCAAAGTTAGGTTTGCTATTTTCATAGGGAAAACTCATAGAACCAAATTAAATTAATGGGCAGCAGGTTTAAAACAGATAAAAGGAAGTTCTTCTTCACACAGCGTACAGTCAACCTGTGGAACTCCTTGCCTGAGGAGGTTGTGAAGGCTAGGACTATAACAGGGTTTAAAAGAGAACTAGATACATTTGTGGAGGTTATGTCCATTAATTATTAGCCAGGATGAGTAAGGAATGGTGTCCCTAGCTTCTGTTTGTCAGAGGGTGGAGATGGATGGCAGGAGAGAGATCGCTTGATCATTACCTGTTCGGTTCTCTCTTTCTGGGGCACCTGGCATTGGTCACTATCGGCAGACAGGATACTGGGCTGGATGGATTTTTGGTCTGACCCAGGCTGGCCGTTCTTATGTTCTTATCCCCCCAAAGTATTTTCACTCTGCAGAGTTTGCCTAAATGTGGTCAAAAGTCCAACGTGCTTTTTCTGAGCGGGGTTCTCTGGTAACTAGAACGATCCTTGGCTATACAACAAGACAATGTGGACCGGCCCTTGTTTCAAATGTGCAGCAAAGTGCCTTTGTGCGTGCAAAGCCATTCCTGCAAGAGAACTTCCACCAGAAGGTGGTGATTTCATTCAAGGAGATCCTGAAATAGATGCTTTCCTGATGATCCTCTGCAAGACTCCAGGGTCGAATGTGTAACTGGAGTCTGTTTAACAGATCCCAGGAAGCTAATTTATGGAGAAAAAAACTTTTCAGAACTATGTAATTGAACTAGGGATGATAAGTATCGGTCAATTGAATAGTACAGTAACCTCATGAATTCTTATTGGTTAGTTGACTATTCTATAGTTCCACACTGCTCTGTATCTATCAGAGCATTGATGTGCGTTTGTAGGCGTGGCACTTATACCAACACTGTGGACTTCTTACAACACACATGGAACCAAACCTAGTTAGAGTGAAAGCAGTGTTATCCGGCTCTCTGTTAACCAGAAAACTTTCTTAACCAGCATTGCCCCCAGCCACAATACTGTTACATCTTCAGGCGCACAGGCCTGGCTTGGTTTATCATGATTGGCTTCACAATTTTTTATTTAAGAAGTGCTAATCATCTTTATCTCAAAATAGAAATGTGAGACCAACTGCCTCACACTACAAAACTGCCAGTATTAAAAACCTGAGTTTTACTATTATTGTCCATTGGTTTTTCCTATGTTGATGGGACCCTCAGATAACCAGAATTTTTAGATAACGGGAATATCCTAATCCCGAGCATGTCAGATAACACAGGGTTTACTGTATTTCTTAACCTTGCTAAAAAGAGCCCTCTTTTAAGGCCATCTATTTTTGTTTTTCCAACCATTGGGAACACTCATAGGCTACATCTACACTGGCATGATTTTCCGGAAATGCTTTTAACGGAAAAGTTTTCTGTTTAAAGCATTTTCGGTTCAGAGCGTCTAGATCGGCACGGACGCTTTTCCGCAAAAGCACTTTTTGCGGAAAAGCGCCCGTGCAAATCTAGACGCACTTCTCCGCAAAAAAGGCCCGATCACCATTTTCGTGATCGGGGCTTTTTTGCAGAAAACAAAACGGAGCTGTCTACACTGGCCCTTTTGCGCAAAAGGACTTTTGCCCAAATGGGAGCAGCATAGTATTTCCGCAAGGACACTGACAATCTTACATGAGATCGTCAGTGCTTTCGCGGAAATTCAAGCGGCCAGTGTAGACAGCTGGCAAGTTTTTCCGGAAAAGTGGCTGATTTTCCAGAAAAACTGGCCAGTCTAGACACAACCATCTAGTTATAATGCCCAGAAGATCAGTATTTTGGAGCAAAAAGCTTGAAAGGCCCTACCCAGCAATCACTCTAGCCTTGATGCTATGCCTACAACTCTGTTCTCAACAATGTCAGGCCATAAAATATTATTTTAGAAATGTAACCCGAGGGATCCATGAAATCTTGACTAAAACAAGTATATTAACCTAAAGCTACTGGATAATATTTCAAACCGCAGCACTTTCATGTATCTTAGTTTTTGCCAGCTTGGGTGATTCAAACATCGGGGCTGTGTCTACATTGGTGCGATCTTGCACAAAAGCGGCCGCTCTTGTGGAGAAACTTGCTGCCTGTCTACACTGGCCGTGTGTTCTTGTGCAAGTAAACTGATGTTCTAATGTATGAAATCAGGGCTTCTTGCACCAGAACTCTGACGCTCCCGCTCAGGAATAAGCCCTTTTGCGCAACTGTTCTTGTGCAAGAGGCCAGTGTAGACAGGCAACATGAATTTCTTGTGCAAGAAAACCCTATGGTTACAATGGCCATCAGAGCTTTCTTGCACAAGAGAGCATTTACACTGGCATGGATGCTCTTGCGCAAAGGCACATGCCAGTTAGACGCTCTCTTCTGGAAGAGTTTTTGCACAAGAACTCTTCCGCAAAAGAGTTCTTGTGCAGGAAGCTGCCAGTGTAGACGTAGCCTGCGGGCGTTTCTTGTCCTTCACCAAAATGTTTTCTTTTCAGAGACCCGAATACAATTGTGAATTCTTTGTTCCGTGTCAGCTGTTCTAGCAAATAATCGTGCTAGTGAATCAGGACTCAGTCTTTTGTTGAATGGTGCCAATCATTCGGCTAGTCTGCATCCCCGTGTCGTGATATGTTTTTGCCACATAAAAAGATTGTCTGGAGGTCCAAGATGAAAGATAGAAGTACTGTGCTCTGTGTCAAGTGAGTGATTTCACTGTCATTAGTGGCCAGCTC